AAATATAGTTAAAAATATTTCTATTGCTTTTTAATGTTACAAAATATTATATTCTATTTTTCATTTATAATAATTATTTTTAATTTTTTTATAATTTCATCATAACTTTTCGTATACCTATATTTTACTTAAAAAAAAAGGCTGACTTTTTACTTATAATTATTATTTGTATAACAAATATTACAAAATATTACAAATTTTGTAATATTTTAAAATCTTTTTTACTGGTTCTTAATTTTTACCTATACTAAATAGACCAATTTTAAAAATTATAATTTTTATAAATTTTAAACATTTTCACTAATATATTAGTGAAAATGTTTAAAATTTATAAAAATTGTAAATTATAAAAAATGTTTTATTTGGAAAATTTACAAAACATTATTATTATTACAACCCACGAAAATAATAATTTTCATTATGAACACTTAATATTGCGTCATATCGCCATTACATCACCCACTAGCGGTAAAAAACACAAAATGCCATTCTACTTTTAATTAGTTTTTAATTTAAAACAAAGCAAAAACGTACACGCATTTATTTTGCTTCTAAATCCTTAAAAGGTAATGTAAAATATCTTATTTTAGTTTGTTCTAGTGTAGTTTTAAAAATAAACATATTGAAATATACACCGTGTCCAAAGTTATCTGCTTACCATTGCTATTGGTAAAACTCAGTTAATATTAAAGCTATGCAGTCAGTTAAATAAGCAAATTGGTGGCATTTTTTTATTAAAGTGGTGAAAAACAATTAAACGTGAGGTTTTCAAAATATTTACAATAATAATTATTATAAAAAAATGTTACAAGGTCCCAGTATATTTTTACACATTTTAAATGAAAATTTTATTTAAAAAAAAATATTATTGCATAACTACCCTATGGTTTATAAACAGTTATGAAGCACTTGAACTTTCTGATTGTTGTTACTACCTATATATATCGTATACGTAAAGTAATAATTTGTTTATTTCAACAACCATCAGAAAGTTTAAGTGCTTATTAATTTGTAATTTTTAAGTTAGCAGGTTACAAGAATGTTGAATAGGGAACCTAATTAATCCAAAGAAAAATACGTCAAAAAGGACCTCAACAAGTATATTAACTTGCTAATTATTATTCACTGAATACAGTTCGTTAATATTTTAATTAATAGTATTAAGATTAAAGTAGTAGCTTAGTAATAATAATAGTAAGGGAACTATTAAAGTTAAATATTTTTATAACAAAAAATTTACTATACTACTACACCTATTTTATCTAATATTTGTTAATAATCCTTATCAAAACAAACAGTGTGTACTTATTTTTTATTTTCACACGTAGATAATGTTTAATATAAAACCGACATTTTCCTATTTTCAAAAATGATATCTGCCTAGACATTCGTTAAACAAATTATTTATTTAGGTCTTAAATTTGTAGGGGTGGGAAAAAATTGATTAAGTTTATTTGCTAAGATCTGTTCAAAGGGACTTTTAGTCTGAAACAAGGCAAAGAGGCCAAAGTAAATGAAGTGAAATTTGTGCAAATTCTAATTTATGGTTAGGCAAATAAAGTCTGTATTTAATTTACCTAAAATAAAATATACCTATTTACACAAATATCATATAGTGGAAGAATGATCCATGATCAAACTTCGCCCTTTTGATGTATTACTTTTTATGTCAAATAAAGTCGTTTTATTATTATTATTATTATTATTAAAAATGTTGGGTATGTAAATATAAAAACAGCTATATTTTGAAAGTTTCACGTAATTTATTTGAATTTTGACACTTGCTTATATAAAACAATCACATATTTAAAATATTATCCCTTAAATAAAATTGTTAACAATAAATAGATTAGGTATTTTCCATAAGGAATTTCTGAATGCTTTTTTGAATATTATGTGAAACAGGTAGATATTTTTGTACTGGTATTAGTGTTAATACATTCTGAAGAAGCTACTGTGTAGCGAAACAATTGTCAACATTCAAATAAATTACGTGAAACTTTTAAATCGTAGTTGTTTTTATTTTTACATAGTTAATATGGAGTTTTATCAAGTAAAGGTCGAAACAATTAATAATAAAAATGTTGGTTATTACTTAAACTTGTTATTTTAAAATATCACCTTTTATATTTATATTTGTTAATTTGTAAGACAAGAGATAGCATTAGGTAAAGTCTAAACAATATTAGTAAAAACTATTATCAATGTTTATTTTTATAATTTTTATGCGGGGACAGTTAGGACAATACAGGATGTCTTCTTAATAATGGGACAAGTGGTTCAAACAATTTAACTCAGATTTAACTAAGGTAGCTTAAAAACTACTGAACCTTTTGAGCTAAAATTTATATAGTATAATTAATACATATCAAGCTCTAGGCGACCTAGAATTTTAGTCACATCTGTAGTAGTTTTAGGTTTTTAGGCCCAACATATCAAAAAATATAACGTTGTATTTAAAGTTGAGTAAAAAATAACCGTTCAACAATCTGTTTTATTTTTTGCTTTCTTACAGACCCTGTAGATTTGATTCCACTATGTGTTTTTAATTGCAAGAAAATGTCCCAATATTAACAAAACATTCCATTTTCCGAATGTCTTTTCACATAAAATTTAAAAAATTGTTACAGAAACTTAAAATTTTATATACCTTTAAAACATCATCTAAACTACTTATGGTATGGTATGGGTAAAACATCCTAGATGAAGGGCATGCAAATGTATGAAATCGTAATGAAAAGATAAAAAAAATCGATAAGAAACTAGTAAACCATATCACAACAAAAAAAACAAAATCTAACTAGGTTTACAAATACATACGATCTTTCCAAAATGTTTTCTGTCTCCTTGAATCTGGAAAATAGATCGCAATTTAAACTGGATGATTGGCTTTGGGATCAAAGCTCTAAATTTTATTTTTAACGGTTTTTTCTTTATTTTTTGCTTTAGTCGCTGTGTATGTATTTATTTGAAGAAATAAGTAGAGAGAAACTAGAAAACAACAAAAATGTCCCATATTACGTTGCAGGATATCCCGCAAATTTGTTTTAAGTAAATAAACATTTTGAATATTATAAAATTATCGGATTTTCTGATTTTACTATCTGTAAAACTTTATGATATCCGTTTTAGTTTTTTTACGATTCCAAAACTTAACTTAAAAGTTAGGAAAAGTTAATGTTAAAAACTTATAAATTATGACTCATAAAATACCTTCCTAATATGAAATTCATATGTTCTATTATCATTTTCAAAATACAGGGTGTTCAGAAAATACTAGTACAATGTTTAACCTAGGCGAGAACTCTCGGTATTTTCTGCCGCTTTTTTGCTCTCATTTGATTACACTATTACCCAGATTTTTTTTATTTTTTTAAATTTGGCCTCTTCATTGCTATCAGCACGTCCGTACTAACTCAAGTACAGGGTGATAACCTATAATGTCGCCCCCTTTTAACTTTTTTATTTTAAGTGTCTCAAAAAATTTAAAAGTGTAAAAATTAAAAAAGGTACTGAAAAATACTTTTTTCTACGTATACAAAAAATTGTAAAATTGATCAATATACAAGGAAAAACAAAAAGTTTATGTTTTTTTAATGTATATACAGGGTGTTATGTAATTAATGTTATATATTAAAATGGGTTGTTCCTTAGGGTCCATAAAGAAGCACCTGAAACTTTTTTTTCTAAATTCCAGTCTAAAAATAATTTATAATAACCTTTATCCTACCAAAAAGTACGCCACTGATCGACTAGGAACTTTAGGCTAATCTGGTTGCCTAATTTAATTTATTATGTTATGGTTGATAACAACAGTGTTTCCAAAATCTGTCAAAAAAGTTGACAAACATTGTTTAAATTTAGCTTAATTACAAAAATGACAAAATTAAAAATGCAAATTGTCAATTTGGCGTTATTATTAATTGTTGGTTATGTCATTTTTGTACTGAAGGTACAAACAAAATCTGCCAACTTTTATGACAGAATATAATGCATTTATTCAAAATTTTAGGTTATGTGCTCAAATTGTTAACTAAGGGAAGTGCTTTTGTATTTATTTACACAAATTAAATGTTTAAAGTTTAACCTGTGACTTGGTCCCAATTTCATCTGAGTAAACAGAAAGACAAAAACTGATTAAACAATTAATTTTGTGGTTATGGATTTTTTAAAATAGGTACTAAATTTTCTAATCATTGCTTAAGCTAATAGCTGGATGAGTAAATAAATACAGAAGGGTATTAGAGCTTTAAGGGCATAAAACTTGTATTTATTGAGTTTTTATTTATTTTTTGCAAAAAAAAATGTTTAGTAACAATTTTTTACATCTGGCAACGCGTAGCTACTTTGTTGGTTGGTATCTATGTATTTACAGAATAAAATAATGGAATAATATTTTTTTAAATATTTTTCCTTTATTCCTTATGTCAAAAGGTACTCAGTATTTTAATATATAACATTAATTACATAACACGCTGTATATAAAAAATTATTTTCCCATTCCTTGTAAAATTCTAAACTTAATTCATATAACATACCATATACCTAAATTCAACCATTTCTGAAATATTTAAATTATTTTTAGGATAATAAATTAAAATAGTTTGTCTTTTTCAGTCTCAGTATGGCATTTTTACTCTCTTAACTATTAATATTGACATAATGTCATTATATTTATTTTTTAATAAACATTTTGTTATCCTGGTGCTTCTTGATTTGTTACAGTTTAAAAAAATATTTGATGATAACGTTTTAAATAAAAATATTTCAAAAACGGTTGAATTTAGGTATATGAGTTATGCTTGGAATTGTACAAGGAATCTAAAATAAATTCACATATAGGGGGGATTCATTAAAAAAAATAAACTTTATGTTTTTCCCAGTATACTGATCAATTTTTCAATTTTTTTATATGTGGAAAAAAGTATCTTTAAGTACCTATATAACCATACTTTTAAATTTTTGGGACAATTAAAATAAAAAGTTAAAGGGTGGCGACATTATAGGTGATCACCCTGTACATGTTGTGGCGAGCCCTCACCTAGCAGAGTAACTCCTGTATTTGCTCTTCTTGAAAAAAAAACAAAAAACATTTGACGCCCTCTAACGGCTAAACTAAGTATTTCTGATTTACCTATATAACTTGGCTTAAATCTACACGTATTTAATGAACACCCTGTATTTTAATATGAGAACTATCTTCTCAAAAAACCTAACACAATTTTTTGATAAAGGAGTTCACATAATAATAAATATTAGTAGAACAAAAAAAATAAGCTTCAATCAATTGAAGTTATACGGTATTTGTTGTTGTTAACTTTTAAAGCAAGCCCTAACTATTTTAGTGTATTCCTAACATAATATACTAAGAAAGGTGTATCTACATACTACATACAAAAGTTAAAAGTAAAACCTAAAATTTTAGAGAAACGTGTAAAGCCGGAAAAGCGTGATATTGATTTAAAGTAAAAGTAAAAGAAGTTGCTGACAGATGGCGTTCCAAATATAAGTTTAGTTGCAACTGCAATCACTGGCGGCGCCACTAGTTGAAGGCGATTTGTTTATTACAGAAAACTGTAATGTTTTCAGCAAGAGGAAAGTAGATTTCTTGCTAATGTATTTGATACAGTTTTTATAGATGTCTTATATTTAGATTGTATAATTAAGAAGATAAAGTTGATTTCATGCCTATTTTTACACATTTGCATATAGAAAAACTTTATATATACATATATGTATATTTAAAAAACCCGTATTATTTTGAGTAGGTTTTTTTGACTTACCTTTCGCTGGCTATTGATGAGTTTCTAGACATTGATTTTGGAGACATCTCGAAATCGCTGTCCGATCTGTACAAAAATGACTCCCGCCTTTGGGGAAGATTTTGGAGAACCAGCCCAGCGGAGGGAGAGGCTGCTCCATCCAATGGGCTTCTTCCAGGACTTGCCCCATTTTCAACATCGAAACTGGAAAAACAAAAAAAGCCATTTTAAAACTTTGCAGAATTCATATTAACAGTTTTATGTTACAAAACATAAAATGTACATACATGACATGTACACATTGTATATTATACATTGTATAATCCTTAACAATTAAACTACGTATTTTTCAGAAAATTCAAAAAAATTTCGTTTTATTAAAGAAATTGAGCCGGATCCAATTTCGACCTTAAAATTGTTCCCACTGTAGGCTTTTAAAAATTCCACGGTTTTTTCATGGTAAAAATACCACTTTTTCCCTTCAAACCCCCTTTTTAATGTTTTCGATATTTTTTGTTCTCTTCGAGAAATCTTTAGTTAAAATTAATGAGTTTGGTTTAGGTAATTTGATTTATTGTTTTAATTATCCATTTTTAAGAACTTCTTGGAGAGAATAAAAGATATTGAAAAAATTTAACAAAACGATTTTTTTTATTTTTGAGTTACCCAGCAACCAATTTAACGACATTTTAAGTCATCATATTAGGATAAAAACATTATATTATTGCTCTTAATGCACCTTAAAAAGGACATAAAAGCATACAAGGTCATAATTGGGTCTAAACATACGCAGGTATAAACATAATGCCTCAAGGGACATTCCGGAAATTTATTATATAACATATAAATCGAGAAAGTTTTATTCTAAAGGGGCATTTTCAGCGAATGGTTATTTCATTTAATTCTTTTCAGTGAAATGGACAGCTCTTGCTTTTTCTTGTCCATTATGCGCGTTTCGTACAATGTGGCATGTTTTCTCCTGGGAAAAAAGTTTTTATTATTATTGAGGAGACAGTACGTCAAACATTTATATAGGAAAATGCTTTTGTGAATGTTATGGAATGGATATAAGAAATGTTGTGCTATATTAAAAATATTCAAAAATTGTTTTTATAAAGTAAATTTTATTTTTTTGGTATGTAAGAAAATAATGAAATGAAATGAAAATGTATGAACATTGATAATTGACAAATGACTGGTCACATTTCACAACATACTTTGCAAGTCCATATGTATTCAACACAATAGAACTAAAATTACATACATTTTGGACGTATTGCATTTAAAAATGATATACGGTTTTTTTGTATAAGAAAACTTACTATGGACAAAGTTTTACTGTTTCCATCAGAGGGCTCTGTAATGTACTTTTCATGGATCAAACTGACCATAACTTGTTTTCAGGTCTAATTTTTAAAAAAATCTAATTTACTGTAGTTTTTTAAACAAAATCCTCTCAAAATCCATTTAAGTTGTCAGTTTTTGATAAATTTGGATTTTTAAAGTTTGGTAAAACATAATTTTTTTAATTGTAATTGTATTAATAATATTTATTATTATGGACAATTGCGTTCTCGCGATATTTTAAAAATATGAATTTAAACTTCGCTGTTTGATCCCGACTGACGTCATAATTTTACGATTTCATGTAACTGTTACGATAAAAATAAAACAAAGCAACAAACCCAACCCCCAACTTAACAACTTTCAACAAGGGAATATTAATTTTATTAAATACATAGACCTATAAATAAATGTACTATATTATTTTATATTACCACAGCAAAAAGGTTGATAAAAACAGGTACTCTTTTAAAATGAATTAGTCAAAAATAACTAATTGTCATGGCAAAAAAGCAGTCAATAATAATTAGTCAAATTCAACTGAATGAAATAGTCAAATTAGTAGATTTAAATTTAAAAAAAGTTTTGACCTAGCCGGAGATTGAACTCAGGTCTGTCACTTGTCAAGCTTGTCAAGCTGTTGTCATAACCAATGTGGCTATCAGTCACTCTTATAAAAATCAATTTTATTTGTCAATAAATATTGTTCATAATATTTTAAAGTTGAATATATTATTTGTGTTGCTGTTTTGGGCTAAACTTTTTGGATTTAATTCAAATAATACTTTGTTGTTGGCCGCAATCGATTAAAGAAATTAGTTACTTTTAACTCTCAGAAATAGTCAAAGATTGTGACTAATCTAAAATTATTCAAACTTTAATTATTTACGTAGTAAAAAATAACTATTTAAAAGTGAAAACGACTATTTTATTGGTAAAAAATGCTGGTACTAATTCAAATAGTAGAATTTTGTCTATTTCATTTTAAGAGAGTAAATAATCTAAAAAATTAAAGAAAAATGCTTTTTAATGCCTATTTTATTGATTTGTCACCCTATCAGTTGGTTAAACACAGGAATTTTAAAATAGGTCATTTGGAATATCTTCTTTACTAAATTCGTTAACAAACTTTAAGGGTTGGGTATAGTCGTCGCGGCTAATTTTCAAATTGCGTCATCAATGTCGAATGTCAAATCCGATTTCTCGACATACGGTTAACCTACCGGTTCCTTGGAAGAAAAGAACAATAATTATATTGTCTGTGCTTGGTCCAGAATTTGATGACGCAATTTGAAACATTCGCCGCGACAACTATAAAATAATTAAAAAAAAAACATAATAATTAAAACTATTTTAGATAAACAGCAATTTAAGTAAAACTTTAAAAACACATGGGCGTATATATACACCACATGAGGGTTTTTTAAGCAATAATAATTAAAAATAAATTAAATTGTTAACAAAAATATTGTTGAATTATTCAAGGAAACATTGGTATTATTATGAACGTCTATCGCATAGTTAATGCAGTGTTATAAATCTTTGAGATGAAATCTGTCATTTTTGACACCTTTTGGCAGCTATCATTGTGATATATATCATTTTTGACGGCTATCATTATCAAAAAGCAAACAATATAAACTAAATCATTTGACGGCAAGGTACAAAATACAGAAACAAATATTTTCTAAATAAATATTATGTTATTATTTGTAACAAATATGTACTATTAAACTACGTTATCTGTTCCTGCAATTTTTTTACTATTATAGTGTAAATATTTGATAACAAAACCCATTAGTCTTGCGTCACAGTGTAAATTAAATCCAGACATAATTTAATCCCCAACATTGTAAAAAAGTGTTAAACTAAATATCCTATTTTTTGTCGAATCTAAATAAGCATCTTTAACATTATTCACTGAATTGCCACAAAATCTACAAGGCAATTATGGTTATTGTTAATAAAAACATTTTATTAACATCATATATAGAAAACAGTATACTTTATATTTTTATTGTAAGCTATGATAATTTGGAACAATAAGTATTAGGAATAATATTTGGATAACCTAGTTTTCCTCAGTAATATGTCACATAATATCCTAAAAATACAAAAACACAAACCACAGCCTTGGGATAAAATCCGAATTTCTTCTTTTATTTGTAATCCTCATTGGTCTTCTGTAGTGAAAGGGGTTAAAATCCGGCATGATTAAAACTCACAGAAAACAAAACAAAACAAAACGACGCGTTTATATGCGAGTTTGGTAAAACTATTAACTCGTAATTAAATTATTTTCTAAGCAAGATAAGATAAAGATTATTACAAATTGATTGTGCTCATAAAAACTGATATAAAGTATAAGCCTAAACTTGGATTATGTTTATTTTAAGGATATTTTCTACTTCCACCTTTGAAACGCCCATTGACACTAGTAATCTCTTATAATATATATAATAAGAAAACTGTGCTTTGATAGCTATTGGTAACGGTTGTTTATTTGTAAAATTCGTTAAAAAACGCGATGGACATTCAAGAAGATATCAAGAAGATATCAAAGATATTCGTGCTGAAGTGGCCGCATTAAGTTTAAAATTTATTGTAAATTGTAAATATTTTTTCACTAAAAAATTTGTCTATATCAATTTAATAATGTAAACGTACAAACCTATAAACTGTACAGTTAAGCTTAACATCCTAGGCCAATATAATTATCAATACAGGGTCCGATATATCGTATACGAGGTGTGTTCAGAAAATAACGGGAATTATTAAATTTCGCGGGTTCGCAGGGTCCGGTTGTCATAAAATTTCCTTTATTATGTTGGTATGATAAAAACTTTAGCTGTTTTCATTGTTTACTTTGTCTTTGGCAGCCGCTAAGGTTAGACGTGTTTTATGAGCTCGGCGGACAAAAATAGGGAAATATTTTGCCGAAATGTCAAAGAAGTTATTGCGTTAAATGTATACATAGTATACATACAATAGTAACGTTATTAAATAAATCAAATTAGTATTTAATGCAATAACATTCTACCATTCTAACAAATAAATATCAATATGAATCAATACATTTAAGAGCGATAACTTTTGTTGTTAATTTAAAAACAGTAATCGATTATAAACTACTAACTACCTATTGGTATTATAGGAACTGTTATTCAGAAATACGGATTACAAGATCCCATTGGTGCTATGCTAGAATTTTTTCTGTGTAAAATTGTTAAATTTTGAAAAAAATGTTTGGCCAAAAACAATACTGTAATGATGCCCCAGCCTCCATATTCGCCAGACATGCCTCTGTCAGACTTTTTCCTATTCCCAAAAATAAAGAGAACCTTAAAGGGCCGTGGTTTTGCAAGCAAAGATGACATTAAAAGCGCATCGCTGAAAGAACTAAAGGCTATCCCAAAGATCGAGTTTTAGAAGTGTTTCGAGTATTGGAAGAAGAGCTGGCACATGTGCATAATATCCAATGGGGATTGTTCTGAAGGCGACAACATTAATGTAGACGAATAAATAAATATTTGTTTCAAAAAACGAAAATTCCCGATATTTTTTTAACACACCTCGTATAGGTGTCATTTCGTTGAAGGAGATAGTAGAGCTATGACACTAATAAAATATAGGTTTTATGAAAAATACATATTGACAAGCTTATGGTGTTTTGGTCAAATTTTATTTATGAAATATTTTTTTAAAGATCGTGTAAGGAAAACTGATAACTTTGAGTCCCGTTCTTTGATAACCAGAGGTAATAAAGCAAAATCCTTTACAGGATTAATAGTTAAAACCTAGTACTATTATTTAGTAAAATATAATATAATATTAACTGGATTTTTTACTAACTATTCCCAAAACTTATACGTATTTAGTTTGTTGACTATTTACAACGATTTATGATAATTTAATTACCATAAAACCTTTTAATGTAAATTATAAATCGGATTCATTTAGGGTTTCCTTTTTAAATGAATTATTAGGAAACACATTTAAAAATATTGCTCTTCAATGAAAAAGGTATTGCAAACATTTTTTTCGAAGTCGCTTGGGAATTATTGGATTGATAAAATAAATATTTGTTGGAAGTAAATTTGCTTTAAGCTTATTGTTTTTTGTTCGTTTTCGCTAGATTAAATCTATAGCAAAGTCCTTATTATTAAAATGTTATTTGTGAGTGAATATCAAACGTTTTATATACAGGGTGTCTATTTAAAAACGAGCAATGCTCTATAAGCCTGCACCTAAAAATATATCAGAAAGATCTTTTATTTTTTTATTGCATTTTTATTTTTTTATTGCATATATTTGCCAGGGTGTAGTTCATTGTGTAAATTATTTTGAAAAACAAATATTACTATTTAAAATATAAAAACTTTTTATAAATCTGATAAAAAAACACCAAAAACATACACACTCAATTGAGGATTTAAACTGTTCAATGTTACCAATATATTTCGCAAAAAAAATTTCAAAATAATACAAGACTATTTAAAAATGGACTCATGTGAGTTATTTTATTAGTTTAACTGAAAAAGCAAAAAAAAATCAAATGTTTTGATTATTGTTAAACTATTTGTTTATTTATGCTTTTTTAGTTTATCATACTTTTGTTAGAATTATTCTCCAGTTTTTTTAATACCTAATGTTTTTACGACAACAAAACGGTTTAATTTAATATTTATAACGAGAAATTGGAATAAATATTAATAATAATATTTTGCGTACATTAAAACTATTACGTAAATAATGAGTTCATTATTCTCGTTGTTAGGCAAGGAATTTATCATTTTATACAGAAAAAGTAATTGCTATGATTCCATGCGAGGTAAACACTTGACTTTTTTTTAATAATTTTGTAACTCAAATAATTATTGTCAAATGAGTATGACTTGTTATTGTAATATTCATAAGAATTTTAGCTCATCTTGATAATATAAAAGTTTTTTTCTACTCCTATTATGGAATTTGACCGTTTTAATATCAATTTTTAATGTGGAATGTAGTAGTAATTAATAATTTATTAAAAATTAACAAACTGATATTTTTTAAAAACAAATTTTTGTAATTAAGTGATAACCGCTTAATTGATTATAAATAACCCGGGAAGTAATTATTAACATCAATATATTAACTTTTAGTTATTTTTTAAAAATTAGTTTATTTAAAATTAACAAATTGTATTCTTAATAGTTAATAATTAGCATATTACTGTATTTTTAATAAATATGTAAATATTTGCAATACATATGACATATCCTTGTCAATCTCACACGGAAGCAATTTTTTTTATAATTTTACAAGAGAGCATATTAAAACTTACTGCAGCTTAAAAATATACAAAAATAAACTTATAAAATTATTATCGTTTACGTATATCTGTAATTTTATATGTTAATCGAAGTTTATTGTTAAACCGAATATTGCAGTTATTTTTAAATTGATCTTCTGTATAATAAAAAAAAATGGGATGTGAGAATGACGGCGATATGCTAAATTTATTATAAATATATACATATTTATTACAAATACAGTTCTGTCTTAATTTTTTACTATTAATCATAAAATTTGATAACCTAAATATTGCAAAAATCTTTTCCAGTAAAATTATAAAAATATTCTCCTCTAAAATTATAAATCACTTTTTGAGGTTGTCGCGATATGTTGATATAAAATGTGGTTCAGTTTGGGTGATTTTTAAAATAAAATACTTGTTTTTTTTAATATGATTTTATTAATAAAACTTTATAACTATATTCATAGCATCATCACAGGCGTTATCGGCTAATACTTAAAAAAATCTACTCCATTATCTGAAAAAATTCGTTAATAATAAATATACCCTGATTTCCTTTAAATTCATGTGATTAGCAATTAACAAGTGAATTTATAGTAAATATAGGGCGCCAAAATTCAACCAATACTTAACGAAATAACAAATCATCAATTATTATTTTTCATAAACTTACCTTTAAAAGAATTAGCCAGAGCTTTGAAACCGTTTAACAGTTTAGAATTTATTATGTCCATGTCAACATTCATGTTTAAGGACCTATTTTTTTGTTAGCATTCACCACCATATATGGTGGTATATATTTTCTATAGAAAATAGTATTATGTAGGTACTTACACAATCACTGCAACAGTTTATAGGCAATACAAATTTACTTATTATATGAAAAATGATGCAAACCCTTATCAGCGAAGATGTAAACCACCCATAACGATGAGTTACGATATTCCATTTGTTAATTATTAATATATCTTATTTCTCACAAACAATATGATTTACTAGTTAGAAAATGTGACTTATTTATAATAATCATTATTTACAAAATTAAAATTTGGCAACTATTAATAAGCAATATTTATTATTAATAAACTGTGAAATAAATACGAATATAATGTATATTTACATTAAATTAATAAATGATTTTATTTGACACAAATTTAGAATATTAATAACAAATAATTTCCACCCAAATAATTAATTTTTTTAATAAAAAATAAATTAAATTTCAGAATATTTTGTTAGTAAATAAATTGATTTACAACAAATTTTTTGTATTAATTATAAATAAAAACGTCTCAAATAAATATTTATTAATTATTAACCCTAGTTAATATGCCGTATTCCAAATTTGTTATTATTATATTTAATTTATAAAAAATTACAGAATGTTTTTTTTAAGAATATATTTTTTTTTAAATTTTTTTTTTCAATTAGTACGCATTGCACTCTAAGAAAATATATTGTAATCCCTAACAATATAGATTTGTTATGCAAAATATGGTTCATTTAATTATAACTTATGGTTGTAATAACAATATACGTAAAATTAGTTTTGTTATATGTACTCTAATCATTTTGTTATAAAAATTTAGTAAAGTTAGATATTTGATTAGGCTATTACAACCATCATGTACGGCTAAACTGTTCGTACTACACTATATGGTTAAAATTATAAGATTATCTGGTTACAATAACAATACAATGTTGTCACACATTATTAACAATATGTCGTTGTAGTTTTTACTATACAGAAAGTTTATACATATCATACATATAGTATATTTAACCATATAGAGGGTTATAAGGTATTTGCATATGATTATTATAACTAAATAAATTATTGTTTTGTGCAACAACAAAAATATAGTTAAAGTGACAATAAAATTGTAACAATATAAACATGGTTAACATAACAGTAAATATGGCTGTGCCTATACTAATCAGAATATTTAGAAAAAGTTACTATATATTTGATTAAGATAATCATTGTTTTTTTCAGTGTGGTATTCGGATACGGTTAAAGTAATCAATTAAACACATGAGACCTTTTTTGAAGCGTCAAATTTCCTACAAAAACATGTCATACTCATTCGACAATAATTATTTTTCAATGGGTTAAAAAATTATTAATTTTTTTTTTAATTTTTCAAATTTTGACCTTGACTATCTTTTAAATGGTTAGAGTAATCGCTTAAACACATTTGTTCTTTTTTGTAGAGCATTTAATTTCCTACAAAAATATGTCCCACAATTAGTGCGACAAAATGAAGGTGTATTATCTAAAGACTCCCAGGAATTCCAGAAAATTGTTTAAAAAATTATTTCTTTATTATTTAATAAGATACAGGGAAGTCATATTTTCTTTATATGGCAACATTGCCTCATAACAAAGTAATAGTTTAATCACAGACCACCAAAACAAATGGACGGATTTGTTTACGTTTAAAAAGCGAGTAAAGCATAGTTTCACATTCTAAACACCGTCGAAAGAAACACGGCTTCCAACGTTGTCAGAACTATAGATTACACGCCTTTTTGGACGTTCATCAAACATAATGAACATTAATAATTACCAGTAATTCGTTTGAATAATAAAAAAATTGTAAAAAGGATTTGTGCATCATTTTCTTTAGATATTTTTCTCTATTTAAAGAAAGTAAATCATTTAATAATTATTAAAATTAAATATTAACAACGTTGGTAAATTCGTCATATTTGACAGCATAGAAAAAGGTTATGTTCTGTGGGTTGACAGCTTGTTGTTTTGTGTTTTCGTTTGTGTATATCTTTATCGTGTTTAAGTTAATTATGGAGTTTAAATACATTATTTTTTACTAAAAATAACAATACATGGAAATATTGTTTGTAAGTACCTACCTAGTTATTTTTTTAATCCCAATACGTCACTGGAAGAAAACATAAAATTCTATCGCCAATTTAACGCTTAGACTGTGACCGTTTGTTGACGTCACTGGAAGAAAACATAAAATTCTATCTCCAATTTGACGCTTAGACTGTGACCGTTTGTTGACCGCAAACAAATCATTGTTATTGAATGGCAATGCGCCGTCCATTTGTTTTGGTGGTCTGTGAGTTTAATTCTTAATCATCATGACAACAAACAACAATGTTAAAAAATGACAAATTTAAATGTCAAAATTTGTTACTTAAAGTTATAGGTTATTTATTTTACGTCAGACAGGGACTCCCTGTATTTTTTTCTATCCAGTCTGACGTAAAATAAATAACCTATAACTTAAAGTAACAAATTTTGACATTTAAATTTGGCATTTTCTAACATTGTTGTTTGTAGTTATGATGATTAAGAATTAAACTATTACTTTGTTATGAGGCAATGTTGCCTTATAAAGAAAATATGACTCCCCTGTATCTTATTAAATAATGAAGAAAGAATTTTTTAAACAATTTTCTGGAATTCCTGGGGGTCTTTAGATAATACAAATTAATTTTGTCGTACTAATTGTGGGACACCCTGTATATGTTTCACTGTCGAAAGATTTTTATTCACCCTATTGTTTACAACAGAAGGATGTCATTATTAATAATTGCGAATACAATCGGCGCAGTATTAACCACTCGACAAAAAAACCATTATTAACCGGTTGGTTCTTTAATAAGTTTACTTACATAGAAATAAAAAACTTGTGTGGGCAAAATAAACCTTTTTAATTGTAATTGCATTCATTTTACCTGTATTCATACCATATTATAACCCGATCCCAAACTCTATAACACTTTTACTAGCAACCCGACCCAACATAACCCCACTTCAAAAACCAACCTTCCCGTAGTCCGTCTGCGATCGTAACTCAACGGGAACCGTCTCGTGTGCCTCCGCACCTGAGACGACCTGGCCGACGACCTCCGACGTTTGGCGAGTCCTTCCGAGTACCGCCTCGAGCTGTCCGACGAGGCCATGCTGCCGGCCGAGGCGAACGAGGCGCGCGAGTCGCTCGAGTCGATCTCGTGCTCGGGTATCGCCTCGCTGTCCCTTCGGGACATGTCGGAGGACCACAGGCTGGTGACGCTGGCGCGCGAGTCCATCGAGCGCTGCCCGATGATCTCGTAGCGGCGCGACGAGGTCGAGTACGAAGAGATGCTGGTCACGGAGGGCCGCGACTCGCTGCCCGGGTCCACGGACGAGTCTCGGGAGAATACCGAGTACCTACGAGGTGGCGCCCAACGTAATTTTATTTGCTTGTTATTTGGGAGATGTTAAGGTTTCGGATTTCTCAAAATTTTATCAATTTAAAAATCAATTGCCTTAAAAATTTACTTATTTTGTTAAAAAAAATTGAGAATGATATTTTAGGTATCAAATATGAAAATCCGTTGCCGTTTTAATTTTTGGATTCTTTACTTTTAATCGGCACCCTTTAGAAATCTGAAATCGTGTCAATTTCTTACTCTCTTATAGTGGGCCAGAACTTTTTTTCTGTGACAAATATTGAAATGATTTTAATTTTGTTTACTGTTCAGTAAGTGTGTTTTCGATATAAATTATTATTATCCAATTAGTTAATCTCATAAAAAAATGGTAAACCACTAAAGATTCACGATAATTTGCCAATTTTTGTGATTTTTGTCTGGCTACTGTGCCTAGTCTACTAAATCTAGAAAGTTATTTTTTTTAGGTATCAAGTACTTATACAGAAGAAAACGTAACTATTATTTTAAGTTTCTAGACTATCATTTTAATTATTAAAAAAATTATTGAAACTTGATAATTCTTAAAATTAGTCAATTTTGCCCTCAGAAATCATTATGTTGAGGAAAAAATAAAAATCTGAAACTTTTAGGAAATGTAGTTCCCACCTTCATCTTTTCAGTCCAGTTAGTCTTGTTTTGCTATTTGTATTCCTTTAAAAGATATATTAATTTTTTAATGCCCGTTTAGGAGCGATATAATATTGTTTTATTAATAATTTAAAATTTAGATGGCTTTCATGTTTGGTGAAGAAGTGTCAGAACTGTCAAAAATATTTCATAATAATAATAATAATAATAAATATTATTTGTGCGTATTTCTTTGGTAATAAGTGAAATTAATAAAGAGTTAATTTAAACGTATAAAAAATGCGTTAAGCAGTTTTCTGTCGGTTTCTTTCACAATTTAAACCAAGTAAGTCTTCTATTATTTTGATCCCTTTAGTAAGGCACTGAATAGTTAAAAGTTATATGTATGTATTTTAAATGTTAGTGGTGGAAAAAAATTTACAAAATCTGTAAATACTTCTTTAAATTTTAGTTAAGGGGTTTATTTAAAATATTTTTTGGATTTTACTTTTTTTAACAATTTAAAACTTATGATATGTTCTTTCATTTTTAATTGCAATTAAATTCATGAATCTCGAACACTCAGTCATTTATTACACTTGCAAACTTGCAAACTTTTTGAAATCACAATTTAAATACGCACAAATAATATTTATGAAATATTTTTGACAGTTCTGACATTTCTACCAAACATGAATTGACTAAGTCAAAGCCATCTAAATTTTAAATTATAAATAAAACTAACAATATCGCTTCTTAAGTGCATTAAAAAAAGTAGTATATCTTTTATAAGGATAAAAATAACAAAACCAGACTAACTAGTCTGAAAAGATGAAGGTGGGGACTACATTTCCTGAAAGTTTCAGATTTTTATTTTTACCTCAACATAATGATTTCTGAGGGCAAAATTGGCTAATTTTGAAAATTATCAAGTTTCAATAATTTTTTTAATAAAGAAAATGATAGTCTAGGAACTTAAAATAATAGTTACGTTTTTTTTTATTGTATATTTACTTGATACCTGAAAAAAGCAACTTTCTAGATTTAGCAGAATAGGCACAGGAGCCAGACAAAAATCACAAAAATTGGCAAATTATTACAAATCTTTAGTGGTTTACCATTCTTTTATGAGATGAACTAATTAGATAATAATAATTAATATTGAAAACATACTTACTAGGCAGTAAAACAAAATTATAATCATTTCAATAATTGCCACAGAAAAAAGTTTTAGCCTCTTATAAGAGAGTAAAAAATGACACGATTTCAGGTTTCTAAAGGGTGCCGATTAAAAATAAAGCAACTAAAAATTAAAAGGGCAACGGTTTTTCATATATGATACCTAAAAGATCATTCTCAAATTTTTTCATTAAAATAAAAAATCATGCAGCCCACTTTTAAATTCATTTTTGGTGTTTTCATTTGGATTGACTTTAATGTATACAGGATATTTCTAGTGGCGGCTGGTGGATTTTCCGTATTATATATATGTATACATATATGTGGATTTTCCGTATTATATACATGTGATCCACAACAATTTTAGTTCATAATGATACTAAATTAACAAGTTCTGCGCAAGCAGATTTTAAATAGAAGTTTAAAAACAATATTTTTTTCCCAAACTTATAATGACATTACATTAATAACTAATATGGTATATGCAAAATCCACCAATATATTTTAATTTAAATCTAATGCCACTTCCGGTTTAACCGGTGGTTACTTCAACTTTGTTAGTCAAACAAAACACTACATATATTTTTAAATTTTTAAATTCTACATAAAATTCTAAGTAAAAGTACTATCCATGTCCTATACCTAAAGTGAAGAGTTTCGTTAAAATTTGAGAAATGCGCGTGAATCAAAAATAGCCTAAAACTTTTTTGTTATTAAGTTTGCGAATATGTTGGTGGAATTTTTGGAATCTTAAAACATTGTTTCAAGAAATTACCCAACTTGAAAAGTTAACAACTTTTTTATTTTAAATGTTTTTGCATAATCAAATAGTAATTTAAAAAACCTTAAGAGATATTTAATAATTTCTAAAGTTTTAAATATTATTTTGTATCAAGAAACCTGTGACGGGTGAGTTGACGGTATCTATGGTTACCACGTAATCTGTAATTGTTCAAAATTTAATGAATTAAATTTTCCAGGTTGTTGTAAACAATTTGTTGACTAATTAATTGTTTTGTAAACAATATTACTGATAAAAAATAGCAGTCAGTGACTTAAAACTTTGACAAGACAAATATTTTAAAAATTTATAGTTATACAAACAGTATTTACTAATTTAAAAAAAAAACTCAACAAAGCGTTAGGATGTCAACTAGATGACTAAAACACTGTTGGTTTATTAAATTGTTTCTTTTTGTTAAAATATTTCATATAATAAATTTTATAATTTTGTTTGCTTTGTTGATTTTTTTTTCAAAATTAGGAAATACTGTTTGGATGTGTGTTGTATGTTGTAAAAAAATATAGACAAAATTAAATTTAAAGACATATTACAGGACAACCCAAAATAAATTGCTGTTAAATTTAATACATTTTTAATTAAAAGCATTGAACAAATAGTTGAGAATATACCCAAAAATAATAATTTTAATGACATACTTGAAAAAGTAAATAACTGTGGAACATTAGAAAAGTTTGATGAAGTATCTATGGAGGAATTAAAAAATGTATTAAAGTCACTAAAAAATACTGATGACATGGGATATGGAATCTGAACTACTATATTAAGAGATGGATGTGCTGTTAAAGCAAATGCGTTATTGGACGTAGTTAATACCTCACTTCAAATGGGAGAATTTCCAAGACTTGTATACAAGTACGAGTACCAAAAAATTCTGAATCGATTTCGTGTAGTGAATATCGACCAATAAATTCACTAGCACCTTATGAAAAAGTGATGGAAATATGTGTAAAAAACCAATTAGATCAATTTTGTCTATATAATAGTGTAATTGTGCCAAATTATTCGCGATTTAGAAAAAATTACAGTTGTGAATCTGATGTCTTAGATGTTTATGATAAATTTGTTAAAGAAATTGACAAAGGTAAAATTATTATTTCTGTTTTCTTAGACTTTATCGAGCTTTTGAAACGGTAAATAGAGAATTATTGATTAAAAAGCTCAATAAAATAGGTTTAAAGAACTTTGTTTAAAAGTGGTTTGATTCATATCTAACCAATAGACTCCAAATTGTTAAGTTAATTAATGTAATATCTGATAAAATCGAAAACTACTATGGTGTACCTCAGGGTACTGTTCTGGGATCACTGTTATTTTTATGGTATAGAAATGATATATCAAAGTATACCAAAAGTTGTGATATTTGTATGTTTGCAGATAATACCATGATTTATGTTAGTGGTTATAATATTGTTGACATGGTAAATACTCTAAATTTAGAATTAGAAATTATTCATAAATGGCTTTGTGATAATAATATGTGTCTTAACCTAAGTAAAATCCAATATATGCATATTTCATCTAGTCTAGGTAAATATTTATTAAATAAATTTCAAAAAAAAAATATTTTCTTGGTAGAATTGGAAAGAATTTAAAGTCACAATGGGGATTCTTCCTACAAATTTAAATAAAAAATTAATATGAGTACAAACTGTCCATAATTACAATACTAGGAATATTAACGATGTTTATGTTACAAATTATGATATGCAAACAACAAAAAATGTTTTTGTTAATGGATTAATATTATTCCAAATAATATAAAAAATTGATAAAATTAAAATATTTAAGAAACTTGTGATTGTATATGTTAAGGAAAACTTTTTATTCTAATAATTTATGACATTAAATGTCATTTTTTTTGTAATGTGAATAGCTTATGCTAATAATTAATTAATATTATTAGTATTATTTTATGTTGTTATTTAAATTTTAAAAAAATTTGGCTTGTCTATTTTTTATAAGCCACTGACTGCTATTTTTATTAGTAATTTTATTAAAAAAAAACTTAGTCAACAAAATGAACAGATTACGTATTATCCATATATACCGTCAACTCACCCGTTACAGGTTTCTTAATACAAAATAAAATTAAAATTTTAGAAATTGTTAAATATCTCTTACATTAATAATTATTATTAAATTATTAATTATTATTATTATTAATAATTATTTCATTTAAAATAAACAAGTTATTAACAATTCAAGCCTAATTTGTCCTGGTATTTCTCAGGTAATATATTGAAAAATTTAAAGAATTGACAAGGAATATTTTAAACAATGTTTTAAGATCTCAAAAATACACATAAAAACTATTCTAAAACCCTTTTAAACAGTCTTAAAATTCACTATTTTTCTAATATACAAAAAACACCGTTTTTCTTTAACTGTCATAAAACTATCTTAAAGTAGTTCTAACCTCTCTGTAAAAAGCACATTTTATTATAAAAACATTATTGACATTTGATTTTTAAATTGACATTACATTTTTTTAAAAAACCTTTACATTACATAATTTTCTAAGAATCTTAGCTATAAAGTTTTGTTATAAAACACATAACCCAATTGTAAAACTGTTTCAAAATTCTTTTTTCTCACTAAAAAGGCATCTCATGTTATACCCACGTAAAAATAACTTGGGAAATAACGGACACCCTAATGTTTAATGATGCAAGCAAATCTGTCATTATTTAAAATATTGATTGAGTAAACCAAATTGGGTTTTGTTTTGTTTAATGATAGTTTGACATTTGCTTTAAGCTATACACTGAACATCGTTATCTGGAACAACATTTGTTAATGGACAATCAATAATTAATTATGAGAATGCCTTTAAGGAATAATATTCTATTATAAAGGGAATACACAAAAACTAGCTGGCAACAGTACATTTATGTAATTCAATGACATTAAATTTATTATTTTATCAAATAAAAACAATTCGACCGAACTTTTAAATAATAAAATTATTAGAGCTCGCGAATCAAAAACCGCAATAGTTAATTAATCTAATTGCTTCGGCAAAGTAGTTTGTAATGTAATTCAAAACCCACCAGTTTTAAATTCTATTTTGTAAAGACTTCAATTGACGTATTTTATTCAAACGAATTTTAATTGCGCCGCATACGCTTTTTAGGAAGTGCATAAACAATCCTCAAAATTTCAGTTTAAAAAGCCATGTTTAATAAAACATAACCTACAATTATTTTGATGTTTGGGTGATGCTTTAAAATAATTTTTGTATTTTTATTTGTATGAGAGCCATTTAAGTTAAACATGTGTTTATTTAAAAATTATTTATAACAAATAAAATTTGTATTAATATTTTAGTTATGACGCGCATTTTTCATATTTTTCGTTATCGGTAAAGTAAACATCATCCCAGTTTAGAAAACTTCAAAACTTTCTATTCACCCCATTTTACGGTAATGTATTTTCTTTTCTAGCACAGGCTGCATTGTTGAGATGTGCCCTTCTAATATATGAGTGTGCAATTAAAGTAATGTATTTCAAACAAAACTCGAGCCACCGAGATTCTTAGAGTATAAACTTGAGAAAAAGTGGATTAAAAACTGTGTTTAATAAAAATTTAGTTACTAGGTAAGGTTATTATGTATATACATTAAAAATGGCATTTTGGAATAGTTTTAAAATATTTTAATTTAATAATTTGTCCAACATTTCATAGTAAGTACCGTTAATAATAGGGTAGACATGTTCAGTAGATTTTTCTGATCTTTTTTAAAACAACAAACATTTATGTGAAAATATTTAAAAAAAGGAATTAAAAATTAAAAAAACAACACAAAAATATGTCAAAAAAATATCTTATGAAAAATGGTTAATCTGAAAAATTAATTTTGAAATTACAGAAAAATTATAAAATCATAAAAAATTATAAAAAAATTAAATCATTATTAAAAAGGGTTATAAAAATTTAAAAAATGGACTAAATGTACTGAGCATTTTATAAATTACGTAATTTATGTAAAATTTTGCAAAAATTTATAATCTCACATTAAACTCTAATTCTTTAAAATAAAGAAAATAATAAAAATATTATAAAATGGGTATAAAAAAGACTTTATCGCACTGGTGAGAAATATTACCATCATTAATATTATTATTATTTTTGTTACCTACCTACTCTCTAAAAATGAATTAGTCAAAAATGACAAATTTAATAGTTATTAGTGGCTGATTTTTCACTTGTACCATGGTTAATCATGGAATACCATGGTATCCCAAAATTTCTTCTTAAGTAAAATTGTTTCCTGAATCCGAAAATGTCGTCAAAGGTTAAAAAAGTAGAACAGTTTTTGAGATATAGTCAATTTTCTATTTAATATGGAATTGACCATATCTTAAAAACTGCTCCACTTTCATAATAATTGACGGTATTTTCGGATTCAGGGGACAATTTTACAAAAGAATTGGCTGTTAAATTTTGGAACACCATGGTATTCCATGGTTAACCATGGTACAAGTGAAATAGCAGCCACTAATAACTAGTAAATTAGTTATTTTTGACTATAGTTAAAATGAATTATAATTCATTTTAAGAGAGTAGACACTTTTTAGTGTAAGTACCGTTAATAATAGGGTAGACATTTAAAGTACATTTTTTTAAATCGACACAAAAATGTTACAAAAATGTATGTAAATGGAAAATATGTAATCTAAAAAATTTATTAAAAATAAAAAAACCACATCAAAATATGTCAAAAAAATATTTTAAGAAAAATGGTAAATCTGAAAAATTAATTTTGAAATTACAGAAAAATTATAAAACAAAATCTTAAAAAAATTTAAAGCATTCTATAAAAAATTCAAAAATGGACTAAATGTGCTGAGAATTTTATAAATTACGTAATTTATGGAAAATTTTGCATAAATTTATAAAAATATACAACAGAAAATTCAAAAGCTTAGTTTTCGTTTCAATTGTATATTAGACTGGGCCAAAAAAATCAACAATTTTTTTTTGGAAAGTATATTGAAAATATGGTTTGGGGTGACAAAAAAAAATTATTGTGAAAGTTTGAGCTCATAATATTAATATTAAGAGGTCTATCATCACAATTTTAATTTTTTTTCCTTAGCAAGTTTTTGTTTTAGAACTCCCAAACCATTGAGTTTAACAAAATTGACTCGAAAATATTTTTTTAAGAAAATTAAATGCTCTACAATAAAGGTAAAAGTGAAATTTTCCGTCAGATGAACCGTTTCCTTAAAATCATCCCTTAAAAATTGGTATAGTTTTACATTTTGATCTTTTAAATTGGAATTTAGTAATTCATGTAAAAATCAGTAGGTACCCATAAAAATCCGATAAATATTCTTATGGGAAATCAAATGCTTTACAAAAAAAGCCTCTCAACATTTTTGGCTAAATTCACTCAACCAAAAGTTATTCAAGGTTAAAATTTCGTTTTGACTTCATATTTACCCTTGAATAACTTTTGATGGAGTGAATTTAGCCAAAAATGATGAAAGGCTTTTTTTGTAGAGCATTTGATTTCCCATAAGAATATTTATCGTTTTTTTTCAGGGTACTGATTTTAACATGAATTAAACAATTTTAAAGTTAAAAGATCAAATTGTAAAACTATACCAATTTTTAAGGCATGTACAAAAACGGGAAATTCCAATCCAACCTTTTTTGTAGAGCATTCAATTTTCTTCAAAAAATATTATTAAGTCAATGATTTGGGAGTTCTGAGACAAAAACTCTTTCAGGAAAAAAAAATCTAAAATTGCGATGATAGACCTCTTAATATTAATATTATGGACTCAAACTTTCACCATAATTTTTTTTTGTCACCCCAAACAATATTTTTGATATACTTTACAAAAAAAAATAGTCGATTTTTTTGGCCCAGTCTATTGTATATATTTTATTGGAAATAAACTGGTTTAATTTAAAAAAAAATTTAGATACAATTTTTTTGATACCTAGATTTTTAGTGTTTAAATGAGGATATATCGTATAATAAAAATATTTAATATCTACCCAGTGCTGTTTTTAATGTATCAAAACCTTAACATAACCTTACTTTTATCAAACAGTTTTCAGGTGTATTATTGCAATGTAATGAACATTACATTACAATAACATACAAAGTATATATTATGTACTTTTTAATACCTAGACCGATTGCTGTTATCGGACGACATCCTGGCTGACATCTCACTCATAAAATCCAGCTCCGGAGAAGGCGTTTGAGAGCCACGCTCCGGACTGGGAGTGGGGACGGGATCCTCCAGGGGCACCCCCAAAGGGGATTGGGGGGCTTTGGGGGCAGCTTTTGTAAGACCGCGAATCAGGGACCATATTATAAACAATATAGTCAACATTTTATGCCGAATTTGTGCAACATGTCTCTGTGCCTATCGATCAGTTTACACTTTTAACTTTTAATATGAATGTATACTTTTTTGTGATGTTTGTTTGAAAACCAACAGGTTACTTTTGTAGAGCAAAGTTAAAATATTTCCATACATGTTTTTTAGTTAAAATAAGAAAACCTGCATTAACATATAGATTTTAGAAACTTCACAAAACAAAAAAAAATATTTTAAACTCATTGAAGCCTTATTTTATATATAAATTCGTAAAAGAAATATGTAAACATTATTTCTTAAAATTAGAAGATGTACCCATGCGTTATTTACTCTGCAGTAATAACCTAGCACTACTTAATCACCATTACGAACCACTAATCACAAAATCACTATTTTAGATACCCTGTAAACACTGGGTAATAAACACAACACTGCTTTTCTTTTTTGTATCGGGAAAAGTTTCGCACACGACTGGAAAGAGTGTTTTCAACGTAGTTGGGAAAGTGTGTGAGTCGGCCATAGTGGCTGAACGTTGCGCATGCCATCTGGGGGCGGTTTTGTTCGGCTGCTCCCCCGCGCCTGTCTCTGGCACACTGGCCTGCAAGCGTTCACTGTTGACTTTACCCGGTTTAACCCCCAAAAGCGTGTCTACAGATTTTGGTTTTCCTTATTCAACCGTCACGTCTACCAAGATGAAAGTTACATGACTAACATGTGACGGCTTATTTGACATATAGAGAACACGGAAAATATCCGTTATGGTTCAGTTATTTTTGCTTATAGGAAAGCGATATTTCATCTTATAACGTATCAGTAAAATTACTTAGCCGGGAACATTGGGGTCCACTTAATTTCTTGCGGGGGGTTGGACTGATTTATTCCCCACTGTTTCTTATAATAACAAAAACCACGGGAGCGAAATATAACACTTTATTTGCTTTGTTGCTACCGACAAAATACATTGTCACGTTAAAGCATATCTTGGTATCTAAAAACATTCCCTTCTTTGCATAACGCGGCTTAACTTTCATGTTTCTCCATAAATATACTATTAAGGATTTACTTAAACCTATCCTATCGATTTAAAAATCTACTTTAATGTCCTAGAAAAAAACAGAGCACATAAAAGACACAATCGTGTTTCAAATCACGCAGTGAGAATATTACCGACACACATTTATATTTATTATAATGGTAAAATGAAAATTGTATCACGTGAATTATTTTGATATTTTAAATAATAATATATACGTTATTTAATACAAATTTAAAAATAAATACTGTAAACAAATTGCTTTATGAAAACAATATTTTGCAATAACATTCAATTTAAAAATAAGCTACCTTTATTGGGCTTCATAGAGCCATTAAAATTATATTGTCTTTTTTCATTTCATATAATATTTGATAATGATAATGCTATGCAGGCCCATTATTGAATATACTTTTCCAATATATCTACTAACTACTGTTAGTAAGCTAGAAGTGGCAGAACGCATAAGAAAAATCACTAAAATGAGACACCCTGATAATTCACTTTACAATCCATCAAATCAACTTCTATATAAAACAACACAGATCACATACAATTGTTGAATAATTTAATGGAAATTATAGACCAGGACATGCCTACCAAAAGGAGATAATCTCAGAAACTGTCAACGAGCACCAAATTATATTAAATTAATTAATTAATATTCAGAGTTAACGTTTCTTTTTTTTGTATACACTTTAAAATTTGTTTATAACTATCAAACACTGAAATTATTTTCAAGAAATACGATTTATAACCTTTATAATCTGTGTTTATAAAATATAAAATTTCACATTTGACGGTGACACACAGATTCCCCTATTGTTTCAAAGATGGCGCTATATACAAATATTTGATTTAAATCATTTTAAGATAATTGTCGTAGAAAAAGTATAGTATGCACCTAATTTATAAACTTTTCTATACAATCATTAATTTAAGCGTAAATTAAATTCGTCTATATAATGGCGTTTATCAAACTTGATACATAATATACTATTTTCTACTCCTGCCTTTAAAACGCCCATTATCGTACATGTTTCCATGACTCTTTAGTCACGGGCTGAAGTTAGCAACAGGTTTTTAGTCACGGGCTGAAGTTAGTTTTAAGTTAGTTGACAGTTGTCAAATATCATACAATTGTTAAAGCAAAATGCCTTTCTTGTAAAATAATACTAAATGTGAACATAATTTTATAATTTTAATAAAAATACAAAAAGTGTTAAACAGTTTCTTGACGCCAATATTTGAAAAGATTATATAAACTTTTGTACAAACCTTTTGATTTCACCTTAACATAATTATATTTTAAAGTTATTTTAATATTTTAAAGTATCAATAATTGTTAAGGTTAATTAAAAGAATAACGGGCAATGTTAAAACTAAAAATTACGTCAAAAATGTCAATTGAGATGATTACTTTATTTTCGTATAGATGTCGCTTAAAACAAATTATTTTTTATTTTTTATTTATCGTTATAGTATGCAACTCGTTTATAAACTTTTCTAGGCACTCATTTAATTAAGCACTCGCTTGCAAGCTCGCTCGTACCTAAAACGGCGTTTATCAAACTTACATAATATACTATTATAAAATCAAGTGATCTAACCTCACTATAGTAGCTTTATTTTTAGGATTGCATGTCATTTACAATTAGAACAAGCTTGTGTATTTTAAAGATTACTTAGCGTCGTAGAAACATATTTTTAAAACCATCTTTTTAATTTATATCTTCCAGTTTAAACTTTTTGTATAATCTCATTTACCGCTCGCAAAATCACAATTTCAATCTAATAACTTTATTGATAAATATTTATTCTGAGAAAATTCGTTTTACCCTAAAAAATTAAATTACCTTTTTACGCTACGTCTGAGAGCCATTTCAAATCTTTTTTTTACTTTATCGAAAACAAATTTCGCTACGAATAAAATCGTCTCTTAAAAATAAACTTCCATTAAATACCGTACGTTAAATAGATGCCTAAATTAAAGTTTCCAGACAAGGTATAGGACGCTTTTTGTATATTCAAAGAAGAAATAATTGCCATGATGGGATGCAAACAATTACAAGCGAATTGTTCGTTTACATCTACTTAGACACAAAGCTTTGTTTCATTAAAACCAAATAGAATATTAAATAGGTTTTAAAGTAAACTTTTTGTCAACAAGAATATTTTAATATGTGGTATAAGCATTAGGGGGTTTAAAAAACAAGTTCAACTGGCTTCAGCGTCTGCAACTTATGCTTCTGCTTACTTTATTTTAATTTTTAACGTTTTCGTTTGCAATATTATTGCAAACATTGATATTATTTGAATTTCATAGGTTGGCTTTAATTTTTTACTTTTACAGAATAAAAACAATTTTGAAAAAAAAAACTTTTCCGATTTCGTTTAACCCTGCCTAAATTATGCAAAATTTTAATTTTTTTTTCATAATAAAAACTTCATAACTTGCTTTTTAACATGTCACAATACACAAGAGGTAGAAAGCGCCAAACCTGCCATCTATCTGCCTCGACATAAGCGTTTTTGATCAAACTAGAACAGTTTCATATAATATTAGGTACTATAGTCTAATATTTATTAAATTATGTGACGGGTTTTCTATATACAGAGCCTTAAAGTAAGCCAGAGCTTATGTCTTTCACTAATAAAAAATCGCATTTTTAGGGTCTACATCATGGCCTACTTAATTTCTGTATATCTTTACAAAAAGATTTGTCAAAAAATAAATATCGATTTTTTCTTAAAATATACCATGTTTATTTTTTTTTTGTAGTTTTAAGATAAAAGTATCCCAAGTCAATTTCCCACATAGCCTAGAATGGGATGAAATAAGCTATAACTTCCACAAAGGTCTAAGTATGTTATGACACGTACTTATTTCTTCTGTTGGGTACGGGAATATCTTTTATTAGTTTTTAAATACTTTGTTTGTGTTGGTTAATTTACCTCAGTGACCTGTAATACCGTTTGGTTCAATATATTTATTTAATTTATTTGGTACGTATTTTTTGCCATATAAGAAAAAAATGTTAACCCATGTTAAATGTTTTATTAAATAATCGGGTATTCGGCTTATCGAGCTTTTTATTTTCTATTAAAATATCATTGATTTTTTTTGCTTTAAAATTTACAATTAATTTAAAAGTTTAAAAATTTAATTTAAATTTAACTTCTTTTTACTGTGTCGATTTTAATTGTTAAAAAATCCAGACGAGTTTACGTAAAGGAAATAAAAAACAAATAAAAAAGTTTGACAACAAAAATATTAATTATTCCCTACCAAAAAAAAATAATTAAACTTGTTAGCAAGAAAAACAAATTTGGGAAAATTAAATAAAGGATTAATAAATTTTTATATTTAAGTGATCTTATAAAACAAAGCTTATTATTCGCTCGGAAAAATACGGCAAAAGTTGGAAGCAATGAGAATTTCAATTTATTTTTCATTATACACCAAACGGAATTTACGTAAGCTTTACAAGTATTTATATTTTTAATAAGAATGGCTTTGTCAAAGTTTCATGCAAATTTATTTAGAAAAATATTTATTAAATTACAATTTCAAAAATTACGGTTTTTAATACCTGAAGTGTAAAGTTGTGCCAAAAATTGAGCTTTCAATATTATATATATATAACTAACAATAAACAATTTGTTTACAAATGCTATATTTTGTCTCGCAAAAAACAAAATTGTTTTAATTCGAATAAAAATGTACCTAATAAGAGAACCTATTTTTTAAATAATGTAATATAACCCAACTGTACCTTAAATTTCCATAACCTCATCATAACGTACATACTTAATTTGGTTCTATTAATAGGTCGGCAAAAGCCACAGGTTCGTTTGATACATGTTTAAACTACAACAGCAATTTCGATTAAAGTGTTTGCTAGTTATTAAACTGCAATTTCGTTTATTAATTTTGAAAATGGATTCACTGAATTTGCGCACAACTGATACTGATTTTAATTGTTGAACGGTTACGTGGCCTCCCACG